ATGTCAGCCCCCATCCCCGATGAGCCTGGCCAGCGCCCTCCCCGCTTTGCACGCAAGAACAGTGTTGGACGCATCGAAGAAGTTGTCCCTGGTGAGCGACGACGTTCTCACGAAGACCCTATGCCACCACCACCTCCCCCTCCAGCGCCCCCTGTTCTAAAGGAACTCAGGCATTTGGCTTCACCACCTCCACCGCCTCCTGCCCCTCTGCAACACGCCCAGCGACATCAGCAGGCTGGTGCTGTTGCATCAGGCATGATTGAGATTGTCATGGATGACGATTTATCATCTGGCAATGATCAAGCTTCAGAGGCTAGCCCTCCGGCTCCAGCTTCCCACAGGAGCCACAACCGAGGCAGAAGCATCGGAGATAGCAGCAGCATCTCAGGCCGAATTCACAAGGCCACTGAGCGACTCCGCTCTGCCAGCCGCAGCCGAAAGGAGTATGTCCGGTCTCCTCCTTTTGAGGCCCCCTACGAGAGCATTCCCATGCCTCGACAGATGAAGTCTCCCCCACCAGTGTCATTCAACCCGGATGTTTTGCGTTCGCCAATTGATTCTCGAAACAAGCACTTGTCGACTGGCCTGAACCGAAACGAGATGATCTAGGAAGTCTCTCGCGATGGTGGCCAGCGCGCTGTGCATTATTTTCTTCCTTTCTACCACTCCCTATAAACTTTGTATTTGATTCTGTGCATGGCGATCGGCGTTCTCTCTCCTCCCGAGTCGATACCATGGTCCTTCGGGGCTCGCATTTTGGCATTATACTTCTGTCCTTTTCTTCAAGGATCTAGCTGTATGACAACTGGAAACTACTGCATCTTGTTTCTCTCTTCACTCTTGATATCACTTTCGGATGTCTCAAGGCCCCTTTCGCATTATTGGCAAGGATGCCAATGAACGTATACGACTTTACATTTCTTTTGGTCGGGCCATGAAGGTTTCTGCAAATTACGACCACATTTACTTACAGCAGACTATTTTTGAAGAGGACGGACGCGGTACTCGTACTGTATCTTGTTATGTTTATCTGAAGGAGGAATGTTGGAGGTAGTAAATATTAGGTAACAGGGAGATCCAGGCAGACGGAGGCTGATGGGTGAGAAAAATGGGTGAAGTGATGGGGGATTAACGTAGCGACTGCTTTATACAATGTTGCCTCGCGGCACTTGTTTGAGTTAGGGGATGAGGAAAAGGGAAATGGAAATGGAAATGGGTGAAAGACGGGTAGGAATGGATTGAAACGGGCTGATTGGAAATGCATTTTGATTCCCCCGGAGGGTCTTAGTACTTACGAATTGAATGAACAACTGCTTTGTATTATGGTTACGCTCGATAGTCATTATGTTAATTATGTGTATATGTGTGCTGAAAGCAGATTTCTTGGAGCAAAGAAGTGGTGATAGCTTCACGTGTGCTCTGCCAGGCATAAGATGCACGTAGGGGTTCGAATCATCCCAACCCGATGTCGCATGAGTACGAGAAGCTGATATCTGATTGACTGGTTATAGGAGAGATAAAATTAATATTTTATGATGGTATTGTTTATCGATGTGAATTGTCAAAAAATGCAAAAAAAGACAGTTGGCTGCTCCATCTCATCCACTTGCCATCCCAAATCCCCCCGCACTAACGTATTCCCACCCGCCACGCGACGGGGGAGAGATCTCTGCAGAGTGAAACCTCCCTCAAGGGTCATCTCCAGTGCTTAGGGCCGCAAAGTTCCAGCATCGTGAGTTACCTGCACGAGTGGGCGACCACCGCAGCGTTCGGGCGGGGCGCGGCGGAGGGCTGAGGTGCCGAAGCACCACAGTATTGGGATGGGCGGTTGAGCGGGTTTGAACGCCTTCACCGTTAGACCATTACAGTCGATAATCATGTCAGTACTCACAACTTATATACCCTTGACCCCACAATGTGGCCGGTGGGGCGGTGCTGGCGCTCCAGTGGGTGACACCTGTAGCTTCAGTGGATCGCCAGTGAACAGCTTCGATTTACCCTCAAACACCACTGCAACCGCATTGCGATCACGATTACACAACACAATCATGTTTCAATAACAACGAGCTCGTTCGACTTCGCCGAGGAATCCCTACCATCAATTCCTCTGAAACACTCTCTACAGCCATGATCGACCATTGAACATACTCCAACCTGTCACAATGCTCTCAACATCGCCCCGTCTTCTCATCCGACATCCCTCTCCAACAACCGCCGAATTCACTGTCACGACTCTCCGGCCGATTCCACCAGCTCTACATACACTGCTCATCATCTCTCGAATTCTCTTCTCGATCATCGCCCTTCTTCTTCTCCACGCGCGCCTGACTCTGCACCCTTTTCTCGCCTACGCCCCTCCCTCTCTCCTCAAGATCATACCAGCTTCATACCTCCGTGCACCAAACTCGACCGCTGCTCTTGCGCAAAACATACCACTATCTGTCCTCGTTCCCGTGGGTATAGTTGTGCTATGGCTATCCAGTCGAAGAGGCTACGCCAGTGAGAGTATTCTCGTCATGAGAGGCTTGGGTGTACAGACTAGTGAAAGTCCAGGGAGTTATCTTGCAGGTACGGCGACGAGGTTCATGCCGACCGAGAAGATCCAAGACATTCTCGTCAATGAAGCGTTTCTTGGGTTCGAGGTGAGATACTACCTCATTGTCATAGCCGAAGGCGAGGATGATGTGGTGGTTGTATTTCCAGGCTTGTTGCCACCACGAAAGATTGTGGAAGAAGTTTGGAGGGGCGTTCGACGGTGTTTGTATGAGCAAAGAGGAGAGGATAAATCACTGGGCTAAAAGACATTATACCTATAGAGGCTCATGGATGTGCCCAGCGCACGATGATATGATTTAATTCTTTATTTTTTTTTATTTTTTTCATCCTGAACCGCATTGTGCGATGCCTACTCATTCATGGCCTCATCTGCTTTTCGCTTTCCAATGCCCTTCTGGTTTCGCATATCTTCTGAGCTAGTATACCCCTTTCTTATAGCATATCTCTCATTCTGCTCTTCAGGAGACTGCAGCTTGACCTTTTGCAGCAATGGCACGTACCGGCCACCCATACGGCCACCGTTACCACCCTCGTAGACAACTACACTGTTCGCCTGCTTGCCCGAGGGCTCAGGGCGAGTGACATGCCTCGAGGGATCTTTACTGCGTTGTGTAGACACCATTTGCAACAATTGGTTTGAGAGCAGCTCGTCTAACTTGCGCTCTCGCCAATACGCCCACATACCATCCATGACACCAAAGGGGCCAGGTTTGCTAAGCGCAGGGTCATCTGCGAGATACACCCAGTCAAGCCCATCGGTCTTCTTGGACGCGGGGTCTACCGGAGCAGAATCTGTACCAGGGAAGATGCAGTCCCAGAGCACTAGAGGCACCTCATCTGCCATGACATAGTTAGGCTTGCAGGGGTTGGCTTTAACGTCGAGCAGAGTCGTCACAACGTCAGGTGTCTCTAACTTCTGACCTGCAAGGAAGAGTACAGCAACCATGTGACGAATCTGGTGCCACAAGAAAGCAGACCCTCGAACGTTGAACGAGTACACCTTGGGGTACACGGTGCCGTCGTTGGGCAAGCCTCCTGCAGGGACGTACGTGGATCCAGAAAGATATGGCAAAGCTGAGCTGACGTCCTTGACCTCTTCGATGTCGGCCTCGTAAATTGTGCGAACAAAGTTTGTGATCTGCTTTCCAGGGTCGATCTTGCAAAAGTTGCGGAAATCATGCTCGCCTTCATAGCGCTTAGCGGCCTCGCGCATCGCCTCAATGTCGAGCCAGCCATTCCTTGCACCACCAGCGCTGGGTTCAGGAGTGAAAGCAGGCTGCGTAAAGAAATATCGGTATTGGCGCTCGCGACATGAGAAACGAGCAGAGAAGTCTGGGGGCGGAGAGGGGCACCAGGCGAGGATGCGAATATCAGGGGGTAGAACACGGTTAAGTAGCCGAGGATATTGAAGCTCATCCTTGATATCATCGAAAGACGGAGTCTCCTCCACGTGTTCTTCTGCTGCGTTCTCTCCCGCTTGCTCGTCAACGACCATTGCCTCGCCTGCTTCACTTTGACGCCTTTGCTTTTTAGGCAAGGGTCTGTTACTTCGAACTCGGAGGCCGATGACTTGACCAAAGGCGCTGACTCCTTTATCTGTGCGGCCACATTTTGAATACTCGCAGCAGTCAAAATCGACAATTCGTTCATCTTCAGGAAAGATAAGGCATGCTTTTGTGAGAGCATTCCATAGTTCCTCCTCAATCGACGGAGCGTTGGCCATGGCTTGGAACTCAAAGCCACCGTAATTCTTGCCCAGATACGCAAGTTTCAAGGCGATAAATCGTGTAGAGTATTTGCTGGGATCCATCTTCCTCTTTCCCTTTGGTTTCGTCTTCTTAGCTTCATCTCCCGCTTCATTTTCAGGCTGAATCTCAGGTTCAGGTTTTGGCTCTGGAGCAGGCCGATTTCTGAGCTCAGCCTCGAGTTCCTTGACTTTCTGAATGAGACCATTTTTGGTCCATGACTGATAATTCAACTCTGCAGACATGGCGAGGTACTTGGCACCTTGAGGCTGCAGAGGAGGTTTTGGAGATTCACCACTTGATGATTTTTTCGGTTTAGGTTTGTTTTGCGAGGACTTTCGAGTTTTGGCTCGGCTGACTATGCCTTCGAGCGAAGTTTGACGCCCAAGACAGCGACTAAAGGGTCTCATGAAGTTGGTGGGTTCCAATTTTGGGCGATTATATGCAGGCCAGTCAGAGTTTACAAGTGGAAAAGGGCTTTGCTGCAGTTCAAAATGTGGCTTGTATCTGAATGTGGCTGTGCCAGACTGGACGCCACAGTTGGGGGTATACTGATAAGTTACGTACAGCTCTCATCTCATCTCTATCTCTGGCCATCATTTAATAGACACCATATCTGCTCTTGTCGAGCTGGTCCATTTTCCATACATCAAACTGGAACATAAGCATACCAACGGCTTTGACTATCTCACATGCAAAATGGACCCCGAAGTGATCAAGATTCTCCTTGTAGGCGATGAAAAGTGCGGCAAGACGACCTTTCTCTCGTATGTAGTCTAAATTCCTCTATCGATTCCTCGATGTATCATACTAAAACTATATCCTTAGCCGACTCAGTGCAGGTGAAAAAGTCAACCCGATTCCCATGCTCCGTGATATGGATCAACCGTTCATCTTCGGTATTCAGACAGGAGCCAAAAAGGTTCAGTTCGAGTTCTTCGACACATCATGTCCTGACAACTGGAGGACCCTTGACCCTGATGCCATTGTCATTTGCTACGACATCAGCCAACGGTTGAGTTTGATAAATATGCAGAGATATGTAAGTGCTCCATAGACGGTATCGAGCATGCAACTCATACTTGATAGTGGAAAGATGAAATCAAGAGGTCGTTTCAACGCATCGATACCCTCCCCCTTATCATCCTTGGATTGAAGCGTGATCTGCGATCGGAGCAAGATCCGAACGGAATTATATACCCGCAGGAAGGATACCAGGTTGCGCAGACTCTACGAGCTGATCGATATGTTGAGTGTTCGGCGGTGACGGGTGAATTGTTGAAGCTGGCGTTTGAAGATTTGTGCAAGACGGCCATGGCTCCAACAACGGGCACAAACAGCCAGAGCGCAAGCACATGCGCAGTAATATGAGATTTGAGGGTCGCGGATACTGTGATCGAGTAGTGGGAACATGAGTTGATAATTAGTTATTATATTGGTGGGCTGAGAGCTCAGGCAGCGGCGTCGTTCATAGAAACATCAACGCCCCCTTCTTCAGCACCCTCCTCCGCAGCGGGGAATTGGCCGAGGACTTCAGCGATGATATTGACCATGGCTTCCTGCTGCTCCTCGTTGAATCGCTCAGACATCTCCTCAACAACAGTATTGAGAGCAGCGACTGAGGCGGGGCGCAGGTTGATGATCATGACTACTTCACCCTTGGCAAGGTTGTAAGGCCGTAAGCGTTCTAGAAGTCTGGAGATGCATCCCTCGGTGTAGGGAAGGGGTTCCTGGCTTAGAGGACCGGGGTTTGTGCGAAGATATTGGAGGAGCTGTAGGGAGTGTCAGTTGTGTTTCTGGGCATTAAATTTGATACTGAATAAAAAAAATCTTACCTCGCGAACTACAGTCTCGAGATTTGGGGGACCACGGCGCTTGGCATTTTTGTATCGTTCGCGCTGCTCTGATACGTGCTGATACACCTCGTAATTTGTGAGAACAGCCGATTGTGCCTCAAGAATCTTCATGGTGAGTGGCGAGTGAGCTCATGCAACGCAACGAGCTGTGAGATTGATATGAAGCATTGAATGAAGGTCTAGATGAAATAGTGGATTCCAGTATCACGAAAGAATAAGATCCAGTGCTGGCCAATCAGAGGATTAGTAGATTTGACGGGGTCTGATTCAGCGGAATTGTTCCAGTGGATGCAGGCCTGGAACGTGCTGTAATTGTTGTGCGACACTGGCGGGAGGCTTCCATTTTCTCTTCTTTTTTACACTGGCTTCTGCTACGTTGTGTGAATCTAGACGCGGGCTCTTATTGGGTAAAGCTAATACTGGTACATGAAGTTTAACGCGGTGTGTTTTTTCGCATGTGAGTCTGGCTAAAAGCTGGGGAAGGGGTTTGGACGCACACGTCAGAGTGCATCACTTTATGCTTTTCCTTTCCTTTCTTTTTTCCGTCTAATGAATTCTTGTTCTACATCGAGCCAATAAGAGTTTTCAGTTATGGCGAGAGAAACAGCTAAGCTTGAGGAGCATCTTGCCCATTTACCGGTAGCGGTACTATGCACTATGCATGTACAGGATCCAATAAGGAGTCATATGATGCTCAATGGCATCATCTAATGGGACAATCTATACGTCGAATTGACAAATTATCTGTCTTGGCTCTTTGCGTGCCACTATGTTGGAAGAAGGAGGTCGCGTGCATCTCCACTGGAAAGGCATGCCATGCATGCAAGCCACTATTCCAGAACAAAGGTTGACCGATGCCGGCCATGTCAGAAGAATAGGAAGCTAGAAGCCTCGATAGGCCCCAGGCTGAGACAATGGTTATGTTTATTGGTACCTCGGCGTGAAATTTGGACGTGGAAGGACAGCCAGATACTTCAAGCAGTAGTGGTTTCTGACTCCAAGAACGGAACTTCAGTGAATAGTCGTTGGGCTGTTCTTCTGAGATTTGGGGTGGTACAGATCAAATGACTGACAACCCCTGCCAGGCTGAACATCCAATGTTGTACAGTTTCAAGCAAAAGAGTTCATTGGCACCTTAATTCACGGCGTTACGGAGAAAGTTGTTTTGCGGGAGGGCCGAGTTTTCCTCTACACCTGCAATATGTCTTGATATCAAGACCAAGAGAACGGGATGCTCGGGTTTACGAATGGCGGTATGCAGCAGGTATCCCTGTTTGGAAATACTTTTATTTTTATCTCTCATATATCCATGCCCACGGAGGTTCTTAAATGGCAAAACGGAGGAGTTCCAGATACCCTGACTCTAGAGTAGGTAAGTAGGTACCCTGGATACATGAGAATCGGCGGGGGTGGGTACCAGTCACCCATGTACAGATAGATACCTCTCTGACTTTTCGGGTTGAAAGTTACCAGAATTATCATGACAGGTATTGGAAGAAAATAATATCTTATACAATATGTCCAGGATAAGAACTCAGTATAATCCATATTGTAAGAAAAGAATGAGATATCGCAAAGTATCAGATATTTCTAGGTTGAAAAGCACCAAGACATCGTCATTTGTGCCTTTACTGCTTCGGTAAGTTCCCCCTGTGGAAATGTCAACTCGGTGGGTGCCGCAATGTCATCATCTTTTTTGGTTGCTGGAGGGTTCCCCGATCACCTCATGTACAGTACCTACAGTACAAGCTCTCTAACTCATCCATTTACAAGCCCAACTTTGACAATGAGCTCAACCAATACTTTCTGATTTGGCCATAAACTCAGCCATTCCAACTTCATTCTCTCACTCCAAAGTTACATCTGCTCACTACTTCACCTACAAAAGCATTCAACATCTCACATCATGGGTCTGTGATCTTCTTCCACTCTCCCCATCATCTCCACTCCTCCACCCGGGGACTGCCCGCCGTCGTTACGACCATCGCGCGCCATCCTCGACTGTTATCTCGTCGATTATCGCTTGGCTTTGGTTCTTCTGAGAGTCTCCCTTTGTCAATATCTTGCCCTTGGAGACAAACACCAGCTACCTTTATTGTCGAGCGCCTTCTAGTGAATACCATCTGCTCGAAATATTATACTGCCTCCGACACCGGCAGACCGTCTGTTTACTTGGAGATCCCTGCCCTGTCATCCGGGTTCTGAGCACTGAGCACTGAACACTGAGCCTGAGCCGCCTGCTTCAGCACAGCACAGCACAGCACAGCACAGCACAGTGACGTCGGTTTGGCCCTGTCCGACTCTCCTGTGCGTCAACTTTGGCCCTGAATCCCTGTTGGTCCGCCAAAACGCTTTTCTCTGGACGCAGCCATCCAGATTCCCCAATTCCGTCAATAATAGGCATCGGCTACCGCGTTCACGGCTTCACATTGCATTACCTTGTGGTGCCGTACCGGACACTGCTTGCTTGCTTGCCAGGCCAGGCCAGGCCAAGCTAGCCAACTCTCAACTCTTGCAGCACGGTTCGACACTTGAACGACCTATTTCCAATCATACCTCCGCTAAATCCACAGGCTCCCCACCCCACACACTGCCGTTGCTGCGCTCCAACCTAACTACCTCAGAAGCCGGGGCTGCCATTGACAAAGGCTGAGTTTAAAAAAAATTCACAATAGGACCTCGACACAGTCTGAACTTGCAACCTTTCAATCCAGCCTCGATTTCGATCTTGACTGGCTTCAGTCTTACTCCCGCCTGTTTCGGATTGTCTCAGGTCTTCTCCATCTCTGCCTTGTCTCATCAACCGCTGTCGAAACTCCATTCCACCGCTAGAAGCTCTTGACTCGGTCTCGGTTCCCCCTCAGAGGAAGAAAAAAAAAAAAAAACTACGTACTCATCCCCCTCCGATTCGGGGCCCCTCCACATCCGTTTTCCGCTTCCGTCCTTCGCCGCATCAAAACTTTTTGCTCTTCTAGCCGACAGCAACCTTCACCTCTACCACAAACCGACACCACTTCACCTTCACAATGGTGCGCAATATTGTTGTTCTGGGAGGCAACTCCCACCCGCAACTCACAGAAAATGTCTGCCAAATTCTGGGTGTTCCGGCGAGCAATCGCATTCTTGGAAAATTCTCTGGCGGCGAGAGTCGCTGCGAAATCAAGGACTCAGTTCGCGGCAAAGATGTCTACATCATACAATCTGGCTCCGGCAACGTCAACGACAACCTCATCGATCTCTGTATCATGATCTCAGCCTGCAAGACTGGCTCTGCGAAACGAGTCACCGCCGTTGTCCCACTCTTCCCTTATTCGCGACAACCCGACTGGCCCTATAACAAAGCCGGCGCACCTTTGTCGCAGATCTCTGGTTCCTCCAAAGACTACACATTTGAGAGTGTTCCTCCCACGCCTCGTCCAGGTGGCCCCAAGTCTGCTGGCCTGCCCAATGGCGTCAACAACTTGACCGAGAAGCTCTCGAAAACAGCTCTCGCAAACGACGGCGCGACAAATGGTGCTAACGGCACTCACGGCGTCTTCAGCACTCCTCGCCGCTCAGACACCATCTCGAGCAGCACCTCTGAGGCCCGTGGACACCACGCAGAGAACTCGACCTCTTCCCAGAGGAATGCCTACACCACCCACGACTATGAGAACCAGTCCAACATATCTGCTTTCCAGCCTAAGCCTGGCTACAAGCAGTGGATCGCTCAGGCTGGCACTCTCGTTGCCGACCTGCTCACCTGCGCCGGTGCCGATCATATTATCACGATGGACTTGCACGATCCTCAGTATCAGGGCTTCTTCGACATTCCTGTCGATAACCTGTACGGAAAGGCGCTACTCCAGAACTACATCCAATCTCAAATTCCTAACCACCACACCGCTGTCATTGTGTCTCCTGATGCTGGGGGTGCAAAGCGCGCTACTTTGATTGCGGACAGTCTCAAGACTGACTTTGCTCTGATTCACAAGGTAATACCACAGAATTCTGATTTTGCTGCTTTTGAAAACTCATGTCTTGCTACAAAGGAGCGACGGCCCATTCGATTTACCGAGCATCGCAACGCCAGTATGATGCTAGTTGGAGATGTGTCAAACCGCATCTGCATCCTAGTTGACGACATTGTCGATACTGGTAACACCATCACGCGTGCTGCGAAGCTTCTGAAGAAAGAGGGCGCTACTCAAGTCTATGCCCTCGTCACCCACGGTGTCTTCAGTGGTGACGCTATCGCTCGTATCAATGCTTCTGCCATTGACAAGATGCTCGTTACCAACTCTGTTCCTCAAAATGAGCATCGTCGTCTCTGCCCCAAGCTTGAGATACTCGATATCTCGGCCGTTTTTGCTGAGGCTATCCGTCGTGTTCATCACGGCGAGTCTATCAGCGTCCTTTTCCAGCACAACTAGAGTGGCTGGAAGCGCACTTACGGTTTGTCAACAGGATTTCATCTACTCAAATCATATGAGGGCTCGTTGCCCCATGAATAACACCATGTCATCGAGATTACTGGATACCCGTATTTTTACGGGGACTATCCCTCTGCCACGGATGTCGCAAAGTTTATCCCGAGTTGCGGCGCGCTGAACTGATATGGGATATTTTCGTTTTGGAGTTTACCGGGGAGCTTCTGCATCATACTGCATTCGCCGTCCGCCAGATCTGGTTTGCTGGCGTTCTTTTTTTCTCTAAAAATTTCCCATTTACACTCATCAAACAACATCAATCAGGTACTTGGACCAGCACACAACAGTGTGCGACGAAGATTATGGGAGGGAGGGATTTGGTTGAACGACTGCAGCGCGGGTTTGGGCACGGGTTTACTTGCTTTCTGCTATGCTGCACAATTTCACCTATTCCTTAGCCTGGACTATCGTGTTCTCCTTTCCTGGGACCTAATTCTTCTCTTTGCTCTACACAATCTTTCCTAAACATCTGTCTTGGGGTACTACCTGTATTTCTTACCTTTCGAGGTTGGAAAAAGAGTGGTATGTTTGGAGATATAAACCAAAGGACATTTCTCGGAGATTCGGTTCTCGCATCCCAGTCCTGCAAATGCATAGAAGTAAAATCAAAACGTAGACATTTGGATCAACCAAAAAAGTAGACAGGTGCTGGCCTAGTTGCTGTGCTGTGACGGGAGACTAGGTCGGCGGTTCAGTTAGCCTTGCAAATGGCGATGCTGTCAAAAAGATCAAGAAATAAATATATATAAAAATGTTAAAACATGTCACTTCATGCTGTTCCGGAATGTCGATCGTCAGACGAAAACTGGATAGTTCTATCACCTGTCAAGCGAGCGGGTATAGTTGTGAAGAGAAACACCATAGCAGAATGGCTTTTATTACTACCAACAATCTACTTATTGGATGTCCTGGGTCTGGTTCTCCGCCAACTCCCCCGTTGGAAAAACAAGCGTACTCATAACTCGTAATTCGTGACAAGCCGGGCACACATTCTCTATATCTGTCAGGAAAGGGTCCCCAATTTGTTGATTCCACTACGTCTCGGAAACGTTACTCATGGATTGCAACATCTGAAGATCGGAAGGAATCTGCCACCCATGGGCTGCGGCCGCTCGTCGGTACGCATCCACTGCCTCAAACATACTGTAGTCCATCTTCCCCAGACTTATATGATGGACTCTTTCGAGACGAGCTGGAGGGTCCCTTTCGCAGAGATTCAATCTGACTTCAAGGAAAACCTTTTCCAATGAAAGAGCCGGGGACCAGCCTGAGTTTGTGAGCAGCTCTGAACATATAGCGCCGCCAATAGTAACATGACCTCCACCTCCTTGGGCAAAAGGTAGAAAGCGAGGTCGTATCACACGAACAAAAGGAGGCGAAATTGGAAAAGAAGCACCAAATCGAAGCTCGAGCACGATGCTTGAGCATCCATGGCTGGCCATGTCTTTGGCAAGTGGTAAGTCCCTGTCGAAACTGTGAAGCTCGACGAACCAATGGAAGAGGTTATCCAGCTTGTCAAAGTCTATGTACCATCCCAGCGTGGCCAAGTTGGTCTTGGACTGGGTCTTTTGTAGGTCTTTGATCTGGCCGTTAAGTGCGCGTAGAGCAGCTGGTGACGATGATGCCCACGTAGGCTCAGCGAGCTTAGGAAGAGAATCAATGTCAAGTTGACCTGGTTGAAAAGGTGTTACATCGTCAGGTCCCCGTTGCGTTTCACCGAGACCCGAGTCTGTAGATGTCCGCCGTCTTTTTCGTGTTCCTACGAACTGAAGGTCATCACCTTCGTCGTCCGATGCTAGTAGAACATCGATATCGTCACTCATATCTGGGCTTTCCAAAGAGCTTGAATCGTTGACATTAGGACTTCCGTTTGAATCCGAATCATCAAGAACGATAGGATGGTCTATGGACGAACCCGTGCCATTCTGCTGTCCTTGTCCGAATGCACGTCGGCGAAATTTTGGTATGGCTGACAGAGGAATATTAACTCGTTGCTGCAGTCCATGGGTTAATTGATAGGCAGGGTCTTGTTCGATATATTCCTCGCCCTGCACCCTATCAGGAAACAGCCCTTCATTGGATAGGGAGACAGAGGATTCTGGTTGCCGAATTTGGATTTGAACAAAGAGGTAGCGGCATTGTATCCAATCGATCCTGTTGACGACGAAAAATGGATTCGTTGACACAAATTGAGATGGACTATTGACGATCTCACACATGCTGATAGCACTCGTGACCTTCAATGCTGAGCTTGGCCACGCTTTCATAGTATCACGGTTGGAATATGCGCGACTAGTCTCGAAATCTCTTGCCAAATAAACGCCGTTGCCATAGGCACGCCCATGAAGCGTGTTCGAGAAGTCAAGGCCGGTTCGAATGATACTATGCCAGTTGGAAAGGGGGCTTCCATGCCATGCGAAGAGTGTTTGATAGGCTCTACCGGTTCGAGATCTCGGTATTTTCTGCAGCTCATTGAAGAAAATGTGTTCCTTTTCAGGAGAACCCTGGGCGAAGCGAAACTGCATCCACCGGTAGTCCGCGCTGCGGACAAGGCTGCTGTTCTGTGTTTGTTCCTCTGCTGCAGATGCCCCAGGATTTGGGCTATCCTGTACAATATGTGACCTATTCGAGGAAACGATCCAGTTCAGTAGACGGAGTGCTGACCCTTCGATTCGTTTCCAAGAGGATAGCCGCCGCCCGGGTACCTCTATAAGGTATTGTCTCATTGTTTGCACGGGTGGGATGCAACTGGTCATGAAGCAGAGTGCTTGATCACGAACCGCATCTTCGAGTTCATCGATATCTTGACCATACTTGTAAATTAATACCTGTACACCATCTGTGGTAGGTTGAGTAACCTGATTCACAGAATTCTCTGGGGTTTCCTGTCCAATGTTGTCGAGACTCGTGAACGTATGCATGACCTTGAACCAAAAGTCGGTATCGATGCACGATTCGATGTAGCAGATATGTTTCTCGCGATCTGAATGCCTCGTTAGTCTTCTTGTCAAAGCCGATACTTGGCATGCTTTTGCATGCTTTAGGTTTCACTTACATGTTCTCATGACTGGTGTCTGCGCATCCAGAGTGTTAGCACCAGTGACGAAAAGCATCAGCCAATGGCCCGCTTTGATAGTTCTACAGGCGTGGAGGTCTTTGGAATCAAACCTCAACAGACCAGTGTTGAAGTAAGCATCAGCGCTGACCGGGGTAGAAGCACTAGCTATGAACGCTGATGAGGGACACTTGAGACCTAGTCCTCGGGGAAACTCGCGGAGGCGGGAGCGGATGACGGCAGCATAGAAGAAGCTCACAAGAAGGTCGACCACGTATGGATTGTTGATAATCTCGTGTTCGATACTCTGGCCGAAACCCAGGGACAAATACTGGTAGAGGCAAAGCTCAGTCTCACAAACGAAAGGTTTTACGGCCTCAAACCCTCCTTTTGCTCTTCGATGGCAAACCAGACAGTACTTGGTGCATTTGATCAACCTCTGGAGGCCGAATTGCATCGCAATAAGAACAATGTTAAGCTCGTCTGCATTGCTCGACAGGTAATCATGCCGAAGGAACTCAGGCTCGAACGACTCGTCAGATGACTCTCGGTCCTGACAGACAATCACGTCTTGAGCGTGATCTACCATGTCTCTAGAATGGTGACCTAGGCTCAAATTATATTCCAGCTCTCGTGCTTCATCCCACGATATTCCTTCTGATCGTCGCAGCCGTAAAAGAGTTGGAAAGAAACGATTGAGAAGTGCGTCAAGAGACAGCGACATATAGAGCGGAATAAAGGAGTCCGTGCTCTCTTCGTCTTTGTCTGTTAGCATTGCCGGCTCTTCCGCTCCCGCAAACATATGCCTCATGGATTTATAATTTGGCCGCGGACTGCTGCATTTACCAAGTTTGAAGTTCATTCGGGTTTGGTCGGGAGGAAGACGCTGGAAGTCTGATACATGAGGATAAGTGGATGGCAGTTTGCAAAGCATGACAATGTATTCTGTCGGCTCAATACCCCAAGCTTCCAGGGCTTCTTCAGGGATTCCAAGTTTGCATACTCGAACAGAGAGCGAGAAGATACCGAAAGACGACTGGTGTATTTCTTCAGGGGGGATGGAGATGCAGAACCCCTCTTGTTTAGCTTCACGCAAGTGACGCTTCAGGCGTATCATTGATTCTGGATCATCGGCTTCAGTGGCGTTTTCAGAGGCAGATGCGCCAGGCAGTAATGGGTCGATATCTATCTCATCGAACTCGGCTTCATAGAAGGAGTCATCGTCATCGGAGAGTAGATCGGCATCTGATTCTTCGCCGTAATAGGGTGGTGCCTGTGAAGTTGACTGATCGGAAGTGCTCAGTTTTGTAGCCAACATGCTGCAAATCAATGTGATGGCATCAGCGATAGTAATGCCATCGGTCAAGCTAGAGGTCTCTTCCAGCCACTTCTCTAGGTCTTTTGGTGTTTCTGAGGAAGTGAAGATCATGAATCCCGGGTGGTTTGGGTACGAGTCTGCATCCTTTGATAGGGCTTGGACATCGATGGGGGGAAGTTGGGCTTCGTGCTCTGCTGCGGGCGTATAAGTGAAAGCGATCTCTCCATCGGAATCACCCTTGCGCAGACTTGATACATTAGGGAAGCTATCAAGAGCTTCTATCGCAACCCTGAGGTCGAGGTTGAATTGCTTGAGACCCATGGCCCCTCTCTCTTGTTGTTGAAGGGGGGGCAGAAGGCAAGAAGGGAAGAAAGAGGGAGAAGATTCAGAAATTTCGGGGGATAGAAAAGATGACCTTTTGCCGAAATCTGGCAGGTTCTGGCAAAGTTTGTTTATTTAATGCTCCAGTCATAGTCGACTGTGATTGAAAGCCTGTGTCACGCAAGTACCGACCTGCACTCGACGGGAGAGCGTGAAAGAGAAGCAGAAGTCGGGTGGTAATACCTTAAGTTAGGGCTGTTGCTGCCTGCCACTGTCACTGCCACCTTAGTCATTCAAAGACTTTAAAGTGATAGGGCCAATGAGAGAAAGGCCATTTTGCTGCTCAAAGGATTGCATTGGCCGCATCATCATGAGAGCGTTTGATCGATAAATTCACTTGATTTTATTCCCGTCTTCAACTCCACGAATCCTCACATCGTTTGGCATTGAGGATGGTATTGATATCCGTTCATCAATTATATGGACCTGGGTCTAGTTTAGTAGTTTAGACAGGCAGCTAAGAATCCCCCCTGCTCAGCCCTACCAATGACGTCTAGAGCTGTGGACATTTATGGCAATGGCTTTGAACTATGTTGGCAGACAAGATACGGCTGTCCAAGGCCCATAGCTTGGGGCCTGTGATGATATCATACACTCTGTGTGAATTTACATGAGTGCGATGGATACAAGCCTGAAATCACTGCCCTTTAATTTTTTATTGGCATGTATACTTGCTGTTTGCCTTTCTGATCCTTGACTTACTGAAGATCTGGAGAGTTGGGGAGCTAAAGTTTCGGTGGATCCTACTACTAAGTTAGAACCCACTCCAGCTTGATCACTCTTGAATGAGAAGCAAACATCTCCTCCTATAGGTTAGATAGTGCTCGGCTGCTCAACCGAGTCCATGGCGGTCTAACAACAGTAGCCTGGGACCTGGGGGATGATTGTATGTGTTCGTGCTTGTTCATGTTGCAAAAAAGTAAAGGGCCAGAATACTCGGGGTTTTATTCCGGCTGTACCTATTCTTTCACCAAAATACCCGTATCCACTCGAGCTCCAGGTGACAACCCTGGTAGAGATGGCTTACATGAGTTTGGTGACCTTCTCCAAGTGAATGGTGATAAAATCTGAAACAGGTACGCAAATCTATAAAACGTATTGATATAGATCGACTGGCAATCAAATCTTGACGCCTTCGCTGATCCATTGGCACTATTGATGAGACTTTGCCATGTCTTATCGCGTGACTCTCGCTCGTCTCACCTAGGTAGGTACCTATGCACCCTTGCCAACCCCTGCCACAAAGGGATCACACCTCAGTACTACCCGGGATGGGCTGCTGCCTCTGTCAGCAATTCTCGTATTCAACTTTCCCTTCCCCTCCCTCTTTTTGCGACAAACAAATAACTCTACTCTACTTCATCCTCTACACAGTCACATGTGCATGTTGTGTCCTTTCGCTTCCTACAATACCATCGAAATGCTTCTGTGACTGTGAGAATTGGCGTGTCTCGACCAATTCAAGTTCGCTGCCCTTCGTTTCATCGTACATCAACAGGAAACGCATCCTACCAGATTCATCCGTGATAACCGACTGCCTCATTGTCCAATTGGCCCAATGGCGATAAACATATTTTACGGCAGACAGCGCCGCTTCGTGTCTCGTCGCTTGACCTATCTCGTTCTCGTTCTCATTGTCTTCGCCTACTCAGCCTTGACCCTACTGTCTCCAAATGCCGCCCAAACCGATGTTGCCGAAGATGCCGCAAAAGCAGACGCTTCTAGCAAGATCAAGACCTCTGTCGATGGCATCCACCACTCGCTCAAGAAAGGCGTGACAGAGCTGAATCCCTTTCGTGGTCCTGCCCATCCACCACCGACTCGAGCACAGGATTCATACCAAGGTACTTCTTGGTGGGCTGATTGGAAGTGGTTGTCTGTGCCGTTCTCCAGCTCCCTCACCCTTGATGAGGACAGAGCACTGCTTCCCCCGCTCCAGAATCGCCCATTCATCTATTGCTACTACGATGCAACCGTTAAGAAATCGAGGGAAGAAAAAGATGCTGACAGTGATCTTCTTCTAACGTGGCGTCGCGCTTGGTGGGCTCAAGGTTTCCGACCAACCATTTTGGGATCCTCCGAAGCGACTGGAAATCCAATGTATCAGGAACTTCAACGGCTTGAGGTTCAGCCCGAACTAAAAGCCGACCTCATGAGGTGGCTCGCTTGGCAATCTATGGGCACTGGCATGTTGGTGGATTATACACTTTTTCCAATTGCACACACTGAGGATCCTCTCTTGGTTTTTCTCCGAAGGGGAGGATATCCTGCCATGACCAGGTGGAAAGGTCTCGAAGGTGCACTCTTCGTAGGTCCCAAGGAAGAGGTCACAAAGACTATCCGGAAAGTGATGGACTCGCCCACACTGAAAGCTGCTAAAAGTGTTATTGATGCATCAACAAAGAACGACTTCAAGGTCGACAAAGCACAAACTGCACTGGTGCATTATAGCCCTGAAATCATCAAAAAGCAATACCCAAAGGTCCATGACAGCATCACTAATGGAAGGGCAAGAGGGTTAGGAGCTCTCAATCGGCTTATTAACGCCCATCTTCACGCTGCATGGCAGAGTAGCTTCCCCGAGGGCATTGAGGTCCTCAAGCCATTTCCTGAGCACACTACTGAGATGGTCACCCCGGCCTTGAAGCTTGCCGACTCCCTAGCCTTCTGCCCAGACAACCCCATCCCGTCATCATGCCCTCCTGGCATTACAAGCTGCGCACACTGTGCCGCTGGCACCACATCTATGAAGGTCACTACCCCTGAGCAATATCAGAATACGAGTGGTGCGTTTGCAATTGGGACAGTTCCTCATCCTTGGACCCTTGCGACTTTGACAACCCTCAAGGAGAGGGTGGACGTTAGTTGGATCCGTAAGGAGGCACCTCGAGACCCTTGGCTTGAGACTATCACAAAAGTGCTTTTGGGCTCAAAGGTCTCCAGCAATTCCCGAATCATGCACTTCAAACAGGCTGTGGCCGATGAACATGCCCCGACTCATGCACTGTGGCTGTCGGCTGAAGCTGATATTCCCCCAGATCTGGAGTGGTACTTTGGATTTCGTATTCCCAAGGGCTTGGGAGAGACATATATGGCTATCAATGGCAAAGCCGAGCAAGGGCCCATGTCAGGAAAGGCCAAGGCTGATAAACCAGCAAAGGCGGAGCGTGCCGCGAAGGCTGATGTCGACACAAGGCCTGAAAAGCCTCAGCCTCGACCAGAGGATACGCCAAAGGAGAAAGAACTCACGCCGAAGGAAATGCAGGCCAAAGAAAAGTCCCTCCTGGACCGTGCCAAGAAGATTGTTGCGCTCAAGAAATCCACCGTTGACACTCGACTACGAGCATCCCTTGAGGCTTGGAACTTGGCAGACACAGAAGCCTGGAAGTTCGCGCGCGCTTTCCTCGCACGTCGCAGCATGGAACGGATCGAGTGGGAGAAAGAAGAATCTAAGTATAGCGGCGGTACTGGCTCTGAGAAGGGCCGTAATGCTTGGAGTCGTTGGAAGGATTTGAAAGAGCGAGAGTAAGGATTGGCCATTTGCGTGCTGCAACACTACAGAACTCCTCGACAATTTGGTTTGCGGCGAATGGACTCGGGCGTTCTGGGCGTATTTATAATGGGATTATGGTAATGACAATTGATCAGTGGTGCCTTGATGGGATGCTGAATAAGGGGCTAGTCATTTGACTGAAGTAGAGATGACCAGAGACCTCGGCAGATTAGGAGAGTCACTCATGAATTCAAGAACGAAGCTTTCACAAACCGCCGCGAAATGGGACTTAGCACGTCAATCGTGAAACGAATGTGTCTGTGAACTAACTGCCTACTTATTTGATACCGATGGGTTCTTCAACAGCAGCAACATCTTTCAGTTGCCGCCATCGAAGGCCCTGACCTCTAAACGCGGACAGTATCACCACCCATCTCACCGCTCAGCTCACGAGAGGTCGGGCCGCGATGCTCCAGCGCAGCTGCCTTTCCCAGAGTTCCGTTGGTGTACTTTGAAGGATAAGTGCCATTTCCGTTCTGAGCCTGCGCGTTGCTCGTGTAAGAACGAAGAGCGAGCCGAGCCGATTCAAGGACCTTCTCAGCGTGGACGACGGCGTCGCGGAGGGCGGTTGCGGTGGGATCCTGGGAACGGGCGAGCTGCTCGGCGCGGAGCTGGATGATGTGACCGTTGAGCCAGATGCCGTCGAGCTGGGCTTGGGTCATGTCGCGAGCACCGGAGATTCGGCCGCGACAAGAGGGGGTGCCGCAGAGGCAGTCGAAGGGCTGGGCCATATGCCATTCGGTGGAAGGATAGAAGAACTAGACGTCTTGTGAGCCATTGGACACGAGATTCGAGGGGTGAGAATAACAAACTGTGAGCTCATCGCCAACCTTGATTCCTTTAGGTCCAACGAGAATGTTCAAGTTTCCTACATCAAAGAGCTATACCCTTGCGTTAACCCAAATTCTCGCTTCCGAAAGGATGGGGTTTTTTCAACATCTGGGGCTTCTCCTTCAAGTAGGTCAACTAACGAGAGTAGGTTCGCAAGAATGGTTAATGTACAGCAAGTCACTGTTCAAGTTGAGATGAGTGTCGCGGCCGGTCTGAACGGTAGCGTAGGTCGGCTCGCTGGCGGGCGTGCAGGGGGGGAAGTCGAACTTTGCGAAAACTGCAAATGGAGGGAGAGAAACGCGCGAGATGCTCTTGGTGGTGAATTCCTCGGGGTTCACGATGACGACTTCTTGGATGTCGGGGTGAGAGGGCTGGTGCCAATGGGGAGTGAGAGGGGCCATTGTTGGTGGTTTGGTAGCGGGTGAGGCTTGAGTATGAGTTCGGTATCTGAATGTGTAAGTTAGAATGAGGCTTGAGGGATATTTTTGAGAGGACTTACGATAGAAGTTATATGATGTTGCTGGCGGATGATGTTTTGGAGACGCAGCGTTGGTGA